TTAATATCAACGTATTTCTCATATGGCTGTAGGTGTTACATATGGATCCTTCTGGCACCCAGAAGAGGCGGCCTCGGCGCACCCGCGAGCTGAGGTGCGACACTTGGGTCCGTCGGGAGCCGGAGGAGCGTAGCAGAAGTTATCCAGGTGGCCTTATCCGGCCTTTCCAGTTGGCGGAACGCGTGCCGTCAGCTTCCACACGTGTTAGGTTCCCGGTTTTTTAAATCAGGTGGTGGTTGGGAGAAAAGCCCCGTGCTGGGCGGTGAGTAACCAGCCGATATCGTCCTCGAAAGCGTGAAGCTGGAATGCCGGCTCCGCCGCTGGCCGCTTGGGCTTGCTGGGGAGAAGAAAAGACCACTGGCAGCAGCTGGAAGCTTAAAAGATCCCTGTTTTTCCAGGACTTTATTTTATTTGGAAAGTTGTGGTCTCAGAGCTGAGCTTAGGGAGAGAGAGTATAAGTAGCGTATTTTTATTCCCAAGTCCTAATGGATTTTCCCTTTATATCGATTTGGACAGGGAACAGAGGTGTAATAGGGCCCTGCTGCGCTAATTTTTGGTTACTGCTGCATTTTGCATTGCCTCAGAGTGGAAAACACGTGTGTGGCAATTTATTAATTCCTCTGCTCTTTCTGCCTGTCCTTTACCTGGACGATTTTTTTTTTTTTTTTTTTTTTTTTCTGTGTCCAGACGCAGTCAGTGCACTTGGAGAACGGCGTGCCCGGTTTGGGAACGATGAGCGTGGAGCCGAGGTGGTGAGCAGCGGGGTGGCAGTTGCTGCTTTTCAGGGCTGCTTGGTTTTCCGTTGGGTGTTTGCTTTTGGTCACCCCGCGCACTGGCAGCACCTGCTTTCTGCCGGAAGGTTTCCGTGGAATCTGAGCTCTGCTTTGGGCGAGGAGACAAATGGGTTGTGCTGGGTTATGTTCAGATGTGAGTGCGTGAGCTGGTTGCTGGCTGGAAATTAAACCTTCCTCGAGGCGTAAGACTGGGCGGGTTTTTAAAAACAGCCCTAGAACCCTGTGCTTACCAGCTGTTGATTGTGCAGAAGTTTTTTTGAACTGGAGTGTGTCTTCTCATCTGCCTGTGGCTTAAGAGTTGGGAAACCCAAGAAGATGTCTGGGCTGATGTGGGGCTTGTGGGCCAAATTCGGAGGGAGCAGGAGAGGTGCAGGGGTGTAGGATTTCAGGAAAAGGGATTTTGTCAAAGGGGCGGGTTGTCTTTGAGAGAGTTTTGACTACAAAGGTTTTCTTCGAACTCAGTGTTCGCACCGAGGGGAAGGACAATTTAGTGCTGCGTTGTGTGGCTTTTCTTCACTGTGTTTTTTCTGCTGAAGGTTTGATGACCAAGTGTCAGAGAAGTTTGGGATCACTGCTCATCTCTCCTTCAAGGAGTTGTTGACATCACAGTTCAGGAAAATTTAACGTATCTCTTGGATGAAGCTTATTTCTTTGTGAATTTCTTACCTATGCAGCTCCTATGCAAAAAGTTGGAAGAAAACATTTTTAACACCCTGCTCCCCCCAAGTATATTTTAGTCTGTATACTTTTTTCCCCAAAAACAATCTTGGAGGAGAATGCTTTTACCGAGACCGTACTTTGCTATTTGTTGGTTGTTCTGTTTTACCCCCAGCTCCTCCCAGAACCTGCGTGATGCTTGAGATGAGCCTTCTAAAAATGACTGGTTATAGCTGGGCTCGGTCCTGTGTTTCGGGACTGCCACTCGGGTTTTGATTTAATGGTGGGATGCTTCTGGAAATTTGAGTGATTGTATTGTGTGTATCAAAGCTGGTTTTGGGGGGTTTGGTGGGTTTTTTTGATGGTTTTTTTGCTGTTTGTTTGGTTTTTTTTGTGGTCAGAGCCCAAGTTACGGAATAGATAACCCCATTGCCCTGCGGGACAGGGAGCATCCCTTGCACCCTTGCTGCTGGCAGCGGTGCGGGGCCTCCACATGCGTGGAAGTATTGCTTGGGACAGCTGAGGTGGGAAGGGACAGCTCAACCCCCCGAGGTTGCTCCGTGCAGAGCTGAGGGCACCTGTTTGTGGAGGGATGGGGAGATGCCGCTGCGTGGATGCGTGAAGACGTGGGGTGGGTTATGGCAGCTGGAGGGATCCCCTGCTCTTCTGCACGCTGGTGAAAGCTGGGAGGATGTCTGCGCCAGCCCATCCCGGGATAACGGAGCTGTTGGAGTGTGGGGCCACCGAGGCAGGACTCAGCGCAGATGCTGCAGCCAGGGATAACGTGAAGATGCTGTGAGAGAGGGGGACCAACGGTGGCAGCGTGTGAGGTGTCCAAGGGTACCCATCTCTCCCTGGGAAGCAGTGTTGGGGGTGTACAGCACCCAAGGGGTGTACAGCACCCGAGGGGCCCCTGCCTGGAGCAGAGCTGGGGAGGGGGGTGCAGCAGAGGGAGCTGGGGTGTAGGCTCTGACTCCCCAGCTCCGCGCAGGAGGGAGCGCGGTTGAAACGGGGAAGGGTAAAACATTTCACGTTGTACCAGTCACCCCCCCATCGAGGAAACGAGGCTTTGGGCATACGCCATCCGTCACCCTTTGTACGGAGCTTGTTCCTGGCCCCGTTTCTTTAAGAGGCAGGCGACGGTTGGATTTCTTTTGGGTTCGTTTTTTTGTCTTTTGTCCCTCGCTTCCAAGTTGTGCAGAATCTGCGGAGGCTAACTGGGGAGAGCGGAGGGGAGGAGACTTGTGTAATGAGGGAGGAGGGGAGAGAGAGGGCCTGGGCTTCAAGCCGTCTCTCCTTAAGAATATAAGGCAGGAAACAAAGGGTGAGCTGCACATGGAGAGCAGCGGGCACCTGGCAGCGCCTGGCCCT